CTCTGACCCTCGCTTGGGTGAGGCAAAGACATAAAATGTAACCAAAATGTTTGTACCCTCATAATACCCTGAAATAAAAAAAAAAGTTAAGTGTGATGGGAAAGGTCATCTGATAACTGATAAGAATGGAATCTGGCAAGCTGGGGTGATGAACGTGGTGAGTAATAAATATATATCTATATATAGAGAGAGATTTAGATATATGTACCTTTTGTATAATTTTAGCTATCATAATTTTCCAGAACTTGTTACCCTTTTCAGAGGAGAAACATTTTTAATTAATTTAATTTTTGGGACTCTATATTTACTGTTATTCATGGCTTTAGTATAATATTGGTCATTTATTCTTAACATTTGGTAAGAATAATCTCTATTATTTCCATTTGAATATTATCTCAGATTCCTTAGCCTAGTACATTCATTTGGGGTAATATTTAAAATATTACGAGGTCACTTGTTACTTTTATAGCATATGTTGTCTTCTCATCCCACAGACTACCATGTGTTTTAAAAGCTGGTAAAATCATTTAAAATCAGCACTGTGGAAAGTTGGGCAAGAGTTGGGCCAATTAGAGTCTCATAAAATGATTTGGAAGCCAACTGCCATGTGAAGATTGTTTTTATTCACTCCCTCAGAATCAGAATATTATGATCAGTTTGTACAGGACCAGATGCCAAAGCCATGTGGAGCTTTACATACCCCGGTCAACAAGAAGTTCTCTTTTTAGTTTATCTTTGATGATGTCTGATTTTAATCTCAATACACATTGTGTGTTGCAAGGATTATCTATAGGTTGAAATAGTACATTGAGCATGTTTAACTAATAGATTTTGTCATTTAATCGTGACCTTTCATGTAGAGAAGTGAGAATCAATGTAAGCACAAAGGTAAGTTTTAATACGGTCTCCTCACCCAAAAGCAAATGAATAAGACTCTTGCCCTGATTATTTATTTCTTTATTTTCTATGTCAGCTGAAAGGACTGAGTTTATTGTAGTGAAATAAATAAAATATTGTATTCTAATCATTTTATTTGTCTTCCTCTTCCAATCAAAACCTGTTTTTCAAGTGGGAATTGTATCTCTTTTTCTATTTTTAACTTACTTTCCTTAATAGCTAACAGAGTATTTAGCATGTGGTAGTCCTACATAAATACTTGACAAACGAATGAATGAAGTCAAACTCTAGCCCCAGAAAAAGAAACCATGCTTGCTGAAAAGTAGATGTCTATTTTGTACAGTGAAGGAAATTCCAACATGTGCAGATTACATTTATCGAGCCCTTGCTATGAAGATGTGATGTGCCCCTCCCCTTGCTTGATTTCCACTGAGTTTTACTTCCCTTTGTGCACATGCGTACTCATCATTTACTTCCAATTTAATAGTGAGCATATGTGGTGTTTGTTTTTCCATTCTTGAGATACTTCACTTAGGAGAATGGTCTTCAGTTCCATCCAGATTGTTGCAAAAGGTATTAATTCATCTTTTTTATGGCCGGGTAGTACTCCATGGTATACGTATATCACATTTTATTAATCCACTCATAAATCGATGGACACTTGGGTTGATTCCACATCTTTGCAATTGTAAATTATGCTGCAACAAACATCCAAGTGCATGTGTCTTTTTGATGAAAAGTTTTCTTTTCCTTTGGGTAGATACCCAATAGTGAGATTCCAGGATCAAATGGCAGGTCCACTTTTAGGCCTTTAAGAAATCTCCATACTGTTTTCCATAGGGTTTGTACTAATTTGCAGCCCCACTAACAGTGTATAAGCATTCCTTTCTCTCTGCATCCATGCCAGCATGTACTGTTTTTGGACTTTTTAATAAAAGCCGTTCTAACTGGGGTAGGGTGATATCTCATTATGGTTTTAATTTGCATTTCCCTGATGATAAGTGATGTTGAGCATTATGTTTATTGGCCATTTGTCTTTCTTCTTTTGAGAAGCTTGTGTTCATGTCTTTTGCTCACTTTTTAATAGGGTTGTTTGTTTTTGTCTTTCTGATTAGCTTGAGTTCTTTATAAATTCTGGATTTTAGCCCTCTACTGGATGTATGGCTTACAATTATTTTCTCCCACTCTGTAGGTTGTCTATTTGATTGTTTACTTAGCCATGTAGTAGCTTTTTAGCTTAATAAAATCTCATTTATTTATTTTTATTCTTGCCATGATTGCCATTGAGGTCTTAGTCACAAATTCTTTACCTAGGGTGGTATCTATGAGTTTTTCCTAAAATTTCCTCTAGAACTCTAATGGTTTCATGCCTTAGATTTAAGCCTTTTATCCATTTTGAATTAATATTTGAAAGTGGTGAGAGGTAGGGATCCTGTTTCATTCTTCTGTATGTAACTATCTAATTTTCCCAGCACCATTTATTAAACAAGACTTCTTTTTCCCAGTGTATGTTGTTGCTTTTTTGAAAATCAATTGGTTGTAGGTAGATGGTTTTATATCTGGGTTCTCTGTTCTGTTCCATTGGGCTATGTCTCTACTTTTGTGCCTATACCGTGCTGTTTTGGTTACTATTGCCTTGTAGTATAGTTTGAAGTCTGGTAATGTGATGCCTCCGCATTCATTCTTTTTGCTTAAGATTACTTTGGCTATGCAGGCTCTTTTCTGATTCCAAACCAAGTGTGAAATTATTTTTTCTAGATCTGTGAAGTATAACACTGGTAATTTGATGGGGATTGCATTGAACCTGTAAATCACTTTGGATAGTATGGACATTTTAACAATGTTAATTCTACCGATCCATGAGCATGATATGTTTTTCCATTTATTTGTATCCTCTGTGAGTTATTTCCTCAGAGTTTCATAGTTCTCCTTGTAGAGATCTTCCACCTCCTTGGTTAAGTATATTCCTAGGTATTTTATTTTCTCTGTAGCTCTTGTGGATGGTATTGAGCGTTTGATTTGATTCTCAGTTTGAATGTTATTGGTCTATAGAAATGGTACTGATTTATGTACATTTATTTTGTATCCTGAGACTTTGTTGAAATTGTTTATCAACTCAGGAGGTTCTTGGTGGAATATTTAGGGTTTTCTAGATACAAGATCATATGGTCAGCAAAGAGCAATAGTTTGACCTCCTCTTTTCCAATTTGGATACATTTTATTTTATTCTCTTGCCTGATTGTTCTGGCTGGGACTTGCAGCAGTGTGTTGAATAGAAGTGGTGACAGTGGGTATCCTTGTCTCATTCTAGTTTTTAGTGGAAATGCTTTTATCTCTTATCCATTCAATATGATGCTGGCTGTGGGTTTGTCATCTATGGCTTTTATAATTCTGAGCTATGTTCCTTCTATGCCTAGTTTGTTTGAGGGTTTTTATCATGAAAGGGTACTGAATTTTTTCAAGTGCTTTTTCTGTGTCTATTGAGATGATCATATGGTCTTTGTGGTGAATTATATTTATTGATTTACATATGTTGAACCATCCTTACATCCCTGGGATGAAGCCCAGTTAGTCCTGGCGGATTCATTTTTTTTTTTTTTTTTTTTTTTTTTTTTTTTGGTGTGCTGTTGATTTTGGTTTGCTAGCGTTTTGTTTAGGATTTTTGCATCTATACTCATAAGGGATATTGTTCTGTATTTTTCTTTTTTTCTAGTGTCCTTTTCTGGCTTTGATATCAAGGTGGTACTGGCTTCCTAGAATAAGTTGGGGATGATTCCCTCCTTCTCAATAGTACAGAATAATTTTTGTAGTGTGGATACCAGGTCTTCTTTGTAGGTCTGACAAAATTCAGCTGTGAACCCATCTGGCTCATGGCTTTATTTTTGTTGTTGGGAGGTTTTTTTATTACTATTTCCATCTCGCTATTCATTATTGGTCTGTCCAAGAGTTCTATTTATTCCTGGTTGAGTCTTGGGAGCTTTTTGTTTCCAGGAATTTATCCATTTCCTGTATGTTCTCTGGTTATGTGCATAAAGATTTACATAGTATTCGTGGATGTTGTTTTGTATTTCTGCAGTTTCAGTCATAATGGCTCCTTTTTCATTTCTGACTGAGCATATTTGGATCTTTTCTCTTCTGTTCTTGCTTAATCTAGCAAGAGGTATGTCAATTTTGTTTATATTTTCAAAGAACCAATTTTTTGTTTCATTGATCCTCTGTATTATTTTTTTGTTTTCCAATTTATCATGAAGGATGCTTCTAATTTTTAAAGGGACATTCCAAATGTACAGCACATGCCTAATCATTTCAATCACTTTTATTAATAACAAAACCATAAATCATTTGAATAGTCACGTGAAGTTATGGAGACAAAATGTGACCTATGTTAAATCCAGCCAAGCTTCATCTCTTTCCCTAGATGCTTTTGCACAAATGGAACTCTCACTGGTATCGTTTAGCTTTCTCTGTGAGCATCAGTATGCTCCATAACTGTAGACTGCGTGTCACCTTCAGAGATTATAAACAAACACTAGCAATTCTGAGGACAACAGGTTTCTGTACTTTCTCAGTTAATTTTGTCTTCTAAGAACATATAGTGGAACTGATTTCAGAAAGACAAAAACAGAAATACACTTTCTTTCTTGTTTTTAAAGATGGAGAGAAAATGCTTTATTATTTTATTGTCTTTCACTGTATTATAATACTTGATGTAATTAAGAATATCTTTTGAACTATAAAAGATACAGAAATGTTAAAAGAGAAGCAATGCTCATAGTTTTTAAAAAAATAATTGTGTCTAATTTTATTCAGAAATTCTTTATTGCACCTAAATTTTATGATTATTGCTTTCTTTGCATTTTAAAGTAGTTGCAATAAGTTTCATTTTAAATCAATTTATTATTTATTACATATGTTCTATTTCCCCAGTTATTCTTTTAGTACTATGTGTCATTGAACACTTATAGATGGCACAAATATATTATCGATCTATAACATAATAAAGTATTTAAATAAAAACTTTGAAACTACTTATTTGCACAGGCATCAAATGCAAATTTATTAAGGTTAATGCATATTATTGAAAATTACATTCTTTTTTTCAGATCCAAGAAATTGGCAGAAATTATGAGCAAGAAAATGATTATGAACAGGATATTATCTCATTCTCCACATATATTCCTTGTAAGTTTTCCATATGTTACGTATATAAGTGACTTTTATGTTATGGTATATGTAACTGGAAAGGTAAGCTGAAGAGAATATTGAAAGGTGGTTAACTAAATGGCTTTTAATTTATAATATGGTAGAGATACTACTACATTGTGTTGCGAATTTAAATATTTGTAATAAGTTCAAGGTTTAATAATCAAACACTAGTTTTTCCTACCCAAAAAGAATGCACAAGTCCTGTTGCTATAAATACTCTATTTTGCAACTATATGTTTTCATTTTTGTTTTTTTTAAACATAACCATATTCTTTGCAGACCTTAGTTTTCTCAGTTATGAAATGAGATGGTAAGACTAGGACACTCTAAGGTCCTCCCTGGTTCTAATAGTTGTAATTCTATTAATGCATTCTAATGTCCTAAGACGAATGCGGAGTGTTCCTGCATGTATGTAAACTCTCCCTCTTATGCCAAGTTTCACCTGTTTGCAATGGCTTGCTCCACATCTTTACCGGCATGTCTGATAGGCATCTCACACACAACATTTTTGAAAACGCTGCTTCCCTCCATTCCCAAACCTCTCCCCCCGCCCCGCTGACTTCCCCCATCTCAGTACATGAAAACTCCTTCCTTCTTTTGTTCAAATCATTTCAAATTCTTGGATTCATCCTTGGCTTTTTCACTTTTCTCCTACCCCATATCCAATTTGTCATACAATACTGTTGATTTACTTCAAAATATTGCCAGCACTTAAGCATTTCTCTCCTCTTTCATTGTTATTTATCCTAGTCTACGCTATCATCAGCTCTCCCCTGGATTATTGCAATATCACAGTAGAGAAATGAAAGGCTAAATATCCTATAATGCTCAGGACAGGCTCTCACAACAAAGGATTATCCAAATGTCAGTAGTCCAAAATGTCAGTAGTATTACTATTGCCAAGAAACACTACAATAGCAGTTTCCCTGTTTGCTGCCCCTACTGTTCTATGCTTCATGTAGGAGCTAATTGCTCACTCTTCTGTTCCAATCCCTCCAACACTTTCCCATTGTACTCATAATCCTTCTCATCACCTACAAGTCCCTAGATAATCTTTCTGGTCCCATCTCTGACCCCTCCCTTGCTCATTCGCAGCCACGGTGCCATTTCACACAGCAAGGGTGCTCCTGCCTCAGGGCACTGAGCTCCTCTGAGCTTCCTGCATATATCCACACAGCTTGTTTCATCATTTCTTCCTTCATAATATGACCCCCTCCTCTGTGATTGCTTTTAAATTCCCTTTTGCTGCTTTTTATCTTCATTGCAGTTATCGATATTTAATGTTATATTTTATATATTATATCTGATGGTTGTTTGTTGCCTGTCCTCTCCTTCTAAAATATATACTGAAAGGGATCAATACTTTTTTGTTTTTATTACATCTCCAGCATTGGTAACAGTACATAGTCTAAGCTCAATTAAACATTATTGGAGATAGGTTTTTCAAATGGCAGGCTGACCTACAAATCAAATAAAATTGAATGTAATTATTTAATAAATAACTAGCATACTTTGGCAAAATTAGTAAACTCCTTCAAACATTATTGCAGAATGCAAAAATGCTAAATATTAAATTAATGGATTAATGCACCAAGTTTGAAAGTTATATATCTTATCATTTTTCATGACAATAAAAAATGATAATAAAGGCCATTATTGATAATGACTTTATTCATCATGACATTTAACTTTCAGAAGAACTGACTCTATAAGAAAACATTATTTTGGTTCCTGGTAAAGAAAGGTCTCATTTCTACAGTTTGGAACTGTGGACTATGTTGTCTATGGTCTATGAAGCGCCGTGTGACTCGGCTCAGGCCCAGGCTCCTTCAGGAGAGAGCGGGTGAAGCATAGAACGTCCAAAATCAGCAAATTCCATTACTAGGAAGCATGTTAAAACCCACCAACCCACTAAACCAGACTTTTCGGGTCTGCATTCCGGGTCTGGGCGTATTTGACAAGTAGCATGGAGACACTGCTGTTTATTCGGGGTTAAGAAATACTGAATCCATAAACAGAAGTGTGGCTAGGAGTAATTTCCTACAGCGTGAATATGATTCTAAGTTGACCGATTTGCCCAGAGTGAAACAGCGAAGTCCCTTTGCCAGCCTGAGCAATAATTTTTCACTCATTCCGTCATCTCCTCCATCAACATTTCTAGATGCTACTTTTGTTCAGGCTCAGTGTTTTGTGTTAAGGGTAAAAAGAAGAATGATGTCTGTGTAGATAAATTGTGCAAAAATGAACGTACATCTGCTGTGCCCAGGCTGGTAATTAGAGCATCTTGGTTCAGTTGTAGTACTACTGGAAGTGATATCTTCTTTCTCACATGAAAGACAAAAAGAAAATGAAAAGAAAACTTTGTGTAGTGATGTGGAATACCATCATCAGCAGGATTTTTCCACATGACTAATTTGTCCCCATTTTAGAAAAATTCCAACAACGTAATTCTTCATTTAAAATAAATTCCTTCTCTACACTCTGCTGTTTGGTTTTTTAGCTATATTTTAGTTTAGCAACATTTCAGTACCATTACTTGCACTGACAATACAACAACTCACATATTCTAAAGTCTGTTATAGAAGTTCCAAAAGTCTGTTTTACGTTTTTTTGAATCTCTTTTTTTTTGAGAAAATTTTTATAAAGAAAAATTAATAAAAGATTTTTGAAGATTTAGTTATTACATTATAATTTCTTTTTTTCTATTTTCTTCCTGAGTGGTTAAAGAGCATTTATTGTATATCATATAAAAAAAAAATGATGGCTCGGTTCTTTGAGTAGAGGGAATTTGAGTCTTTTGGTTAAATTTTAGGGTAGAGTGCATTTTACGTGTGAAAGAACTGAGCTTCTGAAAAATCTGCCTACTATTGGTGATTTGGATGCCTTCCCATCAAAAAATATTAATCTTTTGTCCAAGTAATGTTTTCTAAACTAATATAATATCTGTAATCAATTTATTATGATAAACTATGAAATTATTATAGCATCTATAAAAATTAATATGTATATAAATATATATAAAAATTACAACTAAATAAGAGTCACAGATTAATTCGCAATCTTTATTTACAAGTTAGTCAAGATTTATTTCTTTTCCCTTTTCTTTACCTTTCCTATCACTTATTACTTACTTTATTAGGTCAGTTATACTGTTTTGTAATAAAAATGCAATGATACTATCAAATATATGTGAATCTGCTCGAACAGTAACTCTAAAGAATCATAATGTCATATGCATGAGTGTGTCGTATACTGATGGAGCAAGATATAATGAAGCTTTGTCACTTTGGTAGGTACTTTAAAAGCCCAGAAATAAATGACTGTTGACTAAAAGTTATGCATTTGACAGCTTTCCCCTATATCAGGTCATAAAAGTTTTATTAGCAGTACTACTATTTCTATACGAATTTACAAACATGAAACGCCTCCAGATGGTGCGTTTAAATGAAATCATACCATTTTCATCACGACAGCTGCAGAGAGCCCAGCATCGCATCATGACAGCGGGAAGACACTGGCGCAGAGCGCAGAGGGAGCGGAGGAGAATGAGTCTGCAGGGGGAGGAAGGGAGGATGGATCAGCCGGGGATGCTGAGCGCAGCCCACCAGAGGCCGACAGCGGGAGCTCCGAGGACCAGTATGAAGACTTGTATGTGTTCATTCCTGGAGTGGATGCAGCAAGTAATTCCCAAGAGCCACCTGTGAGCAGCAGACCCCCTCCCCCCCCACCGCGACCTGCAGCTGCTGCCTTCCAACTGGAAAAACCTCACTGCACTTCACCAGGTAAGTTTAAGGTATAAAAAAAGCCACCTTGACGGGCTTACATAGCATACGGTACAGGGGCAAATCTATGCAGAGATCAGCTTTTGAAACCAAGAGCAACTTTCCTCCTGTTCTTTGATAACCAGGGCCTGGGAAAGGAAGAAAGAGACACCTGCCGCCACCTCTTTCTTTTGTTCCTTCCTTCTTTTCTTCTCTCTCTCTCTCTCTCTCTCTCTCTCTCTCTCTCTCTCTGTCTCTCTCTCTCTCCTGAAACAAAATCTCATTTAAGAAAGTAAAGAAAGAAAACTTGAAGGCGTCTGTAGTTCTTCACATAAAACGAACCTCAGGCATCCTGTGGAAAAGCAAATGACAACATTGCTTTTAAAAAAATACTATTAATCTTCAGCCAAGAGGGAAAGGCTGATGTTTCACAGACAATTTGCAAACGACCTTGGGCACTTCATTCATTCGGTAGCTGCGGAAGAACTAGGAGGGGGAGGGTTGATCGCACCCTGCCCTGAGCCCAGAGTCCCAGAAAGCTCGGTCCACGGCCCAAGTGGGGGCGCAGCTAACTCAGCTGTCCCTGGCCTTGCTCCCAGATGCGGGAGTTGGAGAGTGTGGGGACAGGGTGGGAAGGAGGCCTTCCAGCCTTGCAGAGGCATAAAGAGGACTCCCCACGTGGGGCTTCTCTGCCCGGAGTTAACAACAGCCAGAAACACTTCCAGTCTCACTCTTAGCGTCACTAATGATCATGCACGTTTTCGTCATTATTCTATATTTACTTTCCAAAGTCATAAAATGTTCTTATGAAAAAAATTCAGTAAGAAAGATGGGGAAAAATGCCCATTATCAAAACCCTGTTTCTTTTAGGACTTTTAGGACTGTCTTTTAGGACTTTTCCCGTTTTTACACACCCTTGCCCCAATTATTTCAAAAGTTGGAATTATACAAGTCATTTATTTTAATCTTTGTTTATTAATGTACCACCTGAATTGAGAAGGCTTAAGTCCCATTCTTAACTGAAAAGTATAATCGGATACTTTGGAAAATAAAAAGTAAAATGTATTATTTCTAGTGCAAGGCCAACTTTAGAAAGAGTTAGGAAGAGAGGTGGGTGGGGAAACTGAGTTAACAACTCAGGAAATCAGTTCATAAAAGTAAGAGAGCTGACACATTCTGCTAAAAATGAAACACTGAGAAAGTGGTTCCCACACACTTACTCCAGGCTCACCTGTGATGCTGTCAGGGAAACAGAAGTCAGAAAAGTTAGAATCTTAAAACCATATTGTTCACAGGGGAAAAGGCAACTTGTGGTGATTTTAAGGTTAGTGCTAGGATTTTAGATAATTAATACTTCTTAGGTTAGACTAACTGAAACAATAAAATTTAAAACTCTGTTGGGAGCTTCCCTTGGCCTTCTGTCATAAACCTACCTGTAACAATTGCTGAATCTTGTTTTAATAATATCCTAATAATACCCTTTTATTGAGCTCTACTATTTATCTTTCCCCTTAGCTTCTAAGTTTTTCCACTAAAATCCCCATAAGTAAACTAATTTTTTTGGGGGGGTGGGGATCAGATTCTCACTCACCAAAGAGCAAATTGGAAAAAAAAGAGAGAGAGAGAGAAACTCTCATTGGTCTTGTAGAGAGACATAAAATCTGTTTTCAATTTATGTATTAATCAAAGTATATCATATCTTTGTCCTCTAAATAACTGCTACTAAATATCTTTACACATTTTTTGTAAAAATATGTAAAAATTGTACTGAACATAAAAACCACAAAAAAAAGTGAAACCTATAATTTTATTCTTTTCAGATAAATTAATTCTCTAACCACTGATTGTCCATGCTGCCTTTTATGTCATGAATTCTACTTTTGGTGTCCTTTAGCTATGAGTAAAGCTCATGTTGGCTTGTAGAAATTAAGAGTTGCATATTTCAAGGTCAGCCTGCGATAGCCAGAGACCAGCTGTTGGGAAACCAAGTGATGGTGCCTTTGGCTATTTCCCCCTGTCATTTTCAGAGAAATTTAATTCAAGACAAAACATCCAGTGCAAGCAATATGAAAGGTAAAACAACTTCAAATGAAGAAAAAAAAAATCTAAGAGTATTATGCTCGAAAAATGTAAGTTTTCAAACCGGAGTTTGAAACTGAGATTTATAACTCAACTTCCTGATACCAGATCATTCATTTTCTATATCCATATCTATATTATTGTTATATATATATTATTATCATATTATATTCACAAAATAATATGGAAATGTGGAAAATATTTATGCATTTCAAAGAAATCCATGTCTTTTGATTTCAAAGTATTAAAGGGGTACAAATGTTTTTGCTTATATGGATTGCTTTTGTAATGTTTGAGTGACAGCTATAAGTATGCCCATCACCCAAAGAGTGTTCACTGTACCCATTAGGTAGGTTTTTGCCACTTCCTTCCTCCCCCACCCCCACTTGATTTCCACTGAGTTTTACTTCCCTCTGTGCACATATGTGCTTATCGGTTAGTTCCAATTTAATATGAGTACATGTGGTGTTTGTTTTTCCATTCCTTGGATACTTAACTTAGGATAATTGTCTCCATTTTCTATCCAAATTGTTACAAAAGACATTAATTCAACCAATTTTATGGCTGAGTAGTACTCCATGCCATACATATACCACATTTGTTAATCCACTCATGAGTCGATGGGCACTTAGATTGATTTCACATCTTTGTAATTGTGAATGGTGCTGCAATAAACATTTGAGTACAGGTGTCTTTTAGATACAATGACTTCTTTTCCTTTGGATACTTACCCAGTAGTGGTATTGCTGGATCCAATGTTAGGTCTAATTTTAATTCTCTGAGGAATCTCCATACTGTTTTCCATAAAGATTTTACTGTTTTGCAGTACCACCAACAATGCATCAGTGTTCCTTTCTCTCTGCATCCACACCAACATTGGCTGGTTTTGACTTTTTAATAAAAGCCATTCTATCTAGGGTAAGGTTATAGCTCATTGTGGCTTTAATTTGCATTTCCCTGATGATTAGTGACATTGAGCATTGTTTCATATGTTTATTGGCCATTTGTACATCTTCTTTTGAAAGGCTTCTGTTCATGTCTTTTGCCCACTTTGTAATGGGTTTATTTGTTTTTTGTCTTGCTGACATCAGCTTGAGTTCTTTGTAGATTCTGTATATTAGCCCTTTATCAGATATATAGCTTATGAATATTTTCTCCCATTCTGCACGTTGTCTATTTGCTCTGTTGATTATTTCCTTACCTGTGCAGAAGATTTTTCGTTTAATCAAATCCTATTTATTTTCATTGTTGCTGTGCTTACCATTGGGGTCTTAGACATAAATTCCTAGGTAACATCTAGAAGAGTTTTTATCTACATTTTCCTCTACAGTTCCTATGGTTTCATGTCTTAGATTTAAGTCTTTTATCCATTTCAAACTAATTTTGTGAATACTGAGAGATAGGGGTCCTGTTTCATTCTTCTGTATGTGGCTATCCAATTTTCCCAGCACCATTTATTGAATAGAGCTTCATTTCCCTAGTGTGCATTCGTGTCTGCTTTATCAAAGATCACTTGCTATAGGTAGATGGTTTTATATCTGGGTTCTCTATTTGGTTCCATTGGTCTATGTCTCTATTTTTGCATCAGTATCATGCTGTTTTGGTTACTATAGCCTTGTACTATAGTTTGAAATCTGATAATGTGATACCTCCACATTTGTTCTTTTTGCTTAAGAATGCTTTGGCTACTCAGGCTCTTTCTGTTTCCAAACAAAGCATAGAATTAATTTTTCTAGATTTGTGAACTATGATGTTGGTATTTTGATGGGGATTGCATTGAATCTGTAAATCACTTTGGGTAGTATGGACATTTTAACAATGTTGATTATACCAATCCATGAGCAAGATATTTTTTTTCATTTGTTTGTATCCTCAGCGATTTCTTTCCTCAGTGTTTCATAGTTCTCCTTGTAGAGATCTTTCACATCCTTGATTAAGTATATTTCTAAATATTTTATTTTCTTTGTAGCTACTGTGAATGGTATTCAGTCCTTGATTTGACTCTCAGTTTATCATTGGTGTGTAGAAATGCTACTGATTTATGGACATTTGTGATTTATGTACATTAATTTTGTAACCTGAGACCTTGCTGAATTTATTTATCAATTACAGGATAATTGATAAGTCTGGAGTCCAGTCCAATTGATAATCGGAGTCTCTTGGTGGAATCTTTGGGGTTTTCTCGATACAAGATTATATTGTTAGCAAAAAGCAGTAGTTTGACATCCTTTTTCCCAATTTGGGTACACTTTATTTCTTTCTCTTGTCTGATTGCTATGACTATGACTTCCAGCACTATGTCAAATAAAAGTGGTTACAGTGGGCACCATTGTCTTGCTCTAGTTCTTAAGAGGACTGCTTTCAACTTTTTCTCATTCAGCATGATGTTGGCTATGGGTTTGTCATCTGTGGCTTTTATAATTTTGAGACATGTTCCTTCTATGCCTAGTTGGTTGAGGGTTTTTATCATAAAAGGGTGCTGAGTTTTGTTAAGTGTGGTCTATGTTTTTGCTTCTTGTTTTGTGGTAAACCACATTTATGGATGTGGTTATATATATATGTGGTTATATATATGTTGTTATATATATATATGTGGTTATATATATATGTGGTTATATATATGTTGGTTATATATATGTTGTGGTTATATATATGTTGAACCATTCCTGCATCACTGGGATGAAGCCCACTTGGTCATGGTGTATTATTATTTTTTTCTGGAATTATATTTATTTTTATATTCTCCCTATTGCCAGAGTTCTGGATTATTTTTTTTTTCATGTGCTGTGGAATTTTATTTGCTAGCATTTTATTCCATGTCTTAATCAAAGTGTTTTTCTTCATAAAATTAACAATTGCAAACTATAGGAGGATTTGTTAGTACGTTATACAGCTCACTTTTCTTTTAGAATTTATGGGGTAATGTATAAATTATTTTTCTGAAGACAAAAGCTTGATTCTTATATTGTTTCCCATGGCATTTGATTAAGCTGCTTTCAGAAGTTCAAGCAAGTAGTAGAAGGACATCAATAATATTGCATATAATAGAAGAGTAAACACAGTCTAAATTTTTCATAAGCAGGGACAATAGTGGAAGGCCACATGGAAAGCAGTCAAACCTGGTGTGATCGTGGCACAAGACAAGAAACAGGAGATGAATCCAAAGGAGAAGAAGAAAAGAAAGACGAAAAGGAGCAGGAGGAGGAAGAAGACCCATACACTTTCGCTGAGATTGATGACAGTGAATACGACATGATACTGGCCAGTATGAGCATGAAGAAAAAAACTGGAAGTCGATCTTTCATTATAAACAGGCCTCCTGCCCCCACACCCCGACCCACAAATATGCCTCCAAAAGAGAAAACCACACCTTACATAGCTCAAGGTAATAATGTCTTATCGTTTGTTGATTTTCTTTTTCCTTTCGTGTATGGGAGGAGGGTACAAGGTGATGTGATTAGTGCCTAAAACTCCAAAGATTAGAAATGTCTTCAAGTCACAGGCGAGTTGTGTTGGCCCCATTTTTTGAGTTTAGAAACATAATGAATGAAGAAAATAAGAATGATAGATTGGGTACCAGTTTCTAATTTTTCATTAAGAAGGATAATTTTGACAAACCATCCAGGGAACATGAAACCATAGTATATATGTAGAAATTCTATTGGATACCTCCTTCATAATTCTTCAGGAGGGAAGCTCAACTCCTATAAAGAATGTACAATACAAGAACATTTAAATATATACCACATAAGAGAAGCACAGTCTACTAAGGGAAGCACAATTACTCACCTCTGCTTAATATTTTCAAAAGACACCATTCTATTCCTAACACTATATATATTGACAGATTAGTATAAGAAAATGTAGTGATTATATATAAAGTTATTTATCACTGTACAATATACTTACTTAACAATGATCTATTGCTGATAATGCTCAAAAAACTATAACAAATTAATAAATGTTTCAGCTAAAGTGAAATGTGAATTGAAACAATTATCTAAATTATGAAGGCAGAGAATAAGCTTTAATAAGAAATTCTCAGATCGTCTATCATGGTGATCTCTAAGGTATACTATCTCTTTGACAATTTCGCTAAATCCTAAGAAGTACTTTTAAATAGAAAAATTAAATATAGTTTGATACAAGAATTTATTATATTCTAGAAATTTTTGGAGCAATACATCATCTTTTATACTCCAATCCTTAGAGAGTTTCTCAGGATCACAAATATTGAATCCCATGTTTGTTGTTCTGTGTTTGGCTTTATCTTCTCATCTTTCTATTGGCAGTCATATTCTTGTTTTCCAAGATCTCTTTGTTCTTTTTTTATAGCATTCTTTTCTCTTTTGGGGGAGATAGGGGATGGGGAGAAGTGAAATTCAATATCTTTGTTATAGTTTTTGTTTCATTTTGTTTTTATTTGGATTTTTAAATATCTTTTGTTTTGACTTTTATTTTTCTTCTGCTCTCACATTGTCTCTGTTGTCTTTATGCACCGTTTGTTTGTTCTGTCTGTTATGTTTGACACTTCCCTCAAATAGGTCTATTCTTAGCTATGCTTTTATGTTTAAGAATGAAGCAACAGAAACCTCAATGGAAACTCTACTTGTTAACTTGTGGACTATAGGGTAATAGGGAGGTAAGTAACTAGTTTTTTCATTGAATAACACCAAAATGTTAGCTTATGCAGCTCTATTCTGTGCTTTCTAATTTTGCTAGAATAAAATCCAACTAACTCTGGTCCACACTTCCATATCTGGTTGCCAGCACATTGAGATTAGAGTGTAGAAAGAAGACCGGGAATTTCGCCATTCAGAATGTACAATTCAACTTGTTCTCCCTGTTTTCAGTCTAGTGTGTAACTCCCGCCACCCACTGTGCCTTGTGTCCCATGTCCAGAACTACTTCCTTTCACTTTCTCTCTATTGAATAAATCTGCCATCATGGCTGATTGCCTCATTTCATAGCATTGAAGAAAGAATCTGGAGCTATGGCTGCTTTAGACTTTCAAGTAATCCCCATGTTAAATAAGTGTATTGTGATGGTTTTCTTCTCATTTGTTTGTTTATTTATCAATAACGTAAAGATTTATTACCAATCATAAATCCTTCTGTGTATTAATTATGGGAGGTCCCTACATGCAATGGTATAATCTGTCCTATATGTATATGCGTACATAAGAACTTTAAAGAATCTTAGAAATCTCGAGTTTCTATGAAATTTTTAAAGGTTATTTATCTCACTTACCCATCCCAAGCCTGGTAGCCTTCAACATTTATAACACATTTTCTAATTAAATTATACAACTTAATTTGTTCTTGTGATATTTGTATTACATGGAGATAGGAATCAGTGTTATATTTTGTTTGTAATTGCAATTAAGTATATAAAATAGGTATGGTTGTTTGCCCCACATCCCAAATCAGTAGCAAAAGCTATCCTGTAAATGAGGTCACCAAAATCTCCTTGCATTTTTTTTTTCTTTGCTCTTTCACTGGGATACACTTGCCTGCTTTCCTCTTTTATGCAGTTGATTGTTGATCATTCTGTTCTCACATTAGGAAGACATTGCCTCATCAGCTAATTCCTTCTTGATGTTCTTTGCATTTCACAGGGTAAAAGTCTTTCATCGCATCTTTTCTTTTCTTTTTTTTCCTAGCTCAGGCAGATCTCTTAAATAGAATTGCCACTATTTCCCAGAAAGCCATGCATTCAATTAGAAGAACATTAATTTGACCCAATTCTTCCCAGAAGACAAAAGTGGTAGCAGAGTGTTGGCATATCCAGGGGACGTTAACGTAGCCAAAAGTGAAAGATGTGGAACAGGGAGGATGGAGGAAGAATACGGGGTGCAGAATCCCAACTTACTATTCCAGAAACTCAAGAAAATACTAGCAAAGAGACTAGGCAAAGAAAAACCAGGAATATACAGAAAAACCATGTTGACTTTGGAGAAAGACCTGTATTCAGGTTTAACTGATGTTACATAAACAAAAAACTTCATATCTGAGATTTCATTTTCTCATTGTTAATTGGGGATTAAAAGCATATCTACTTCAAGGACTGTTATAATCTTTAAATGAGATAAAATTAATAAATACCCAGTACAATACTTGGTATATAGTATATGTTTAATACATTATTGTTCAAAGCAGTTCTCCTTTGTCTTTGTTTGGTTTCTGAGCAGAAGATGACTTGGATAAACTAACTTTAAATTATAGAAAAAGTGTCTGTGTGTCTCTTGGATTCTGGGGGAGTCAGAAGTTAAGGAAGATAACGTGCCGGAGTGGATGGAGAAGGAGGACCCTGTCCTCTAACAGGACAAGCTGACTTAATCTATTAGTAGGCAACTTGTATGATACTTGCTACTTCATGCAACACTCCTGCATGGGTGGTAGTACTAGCCTCATTTTAGAAACAGAAAAACTGATGTTCAGTGAGTTTCAGTTTCTCTCCCAAGGTGATAAAATTAGGAAAAGGAAGAGGTGGGAGTCAGACCCAAATTAATCTGTCTCCCATGCCTATGCATGTGGCACCACAAATTACCTTCACTGATCTATTTATTTCTGGATTATTCATTAATACTTATTTTTTCCTTCTGACCCGTAAGATCCGTGAAGGAAGAAATCAACTTCACCTGGTTTTGCCTATCATTTTATCTCTGGTGCCAAGACTACTGCTGAATTGTTAATAGAAACTATGCATATTTGATGAATATTTACTGAATAAAATTATATAATTGATGAGGTCCACATCAGTGCGGCTAGAAGACTCCATTAACACTTTGAAGGATGGTTAGAAGAATATATTACTCTACTAATTCCTCAATTTCTCCTGTTTTAAACCATCCCACGGCCAAAACACTGCTAATTTGAAGGGAAGCCAGGGTGGGGAACCTGCGGCCTGGGGACCACATGTGGCCTTCTGGATCCTTGAGTGAGGCCTTTTGAGTGAATCCAAATTTTACAGAACAAATCCTCTTAATAAGGGGAAGTTTAGATTTGGTCGAGGGGCCACATTTGGGGGTCTTGACCCACCTTGGCGCGAGATATTCACATACAGTTAAACATTCTGTTCTCACAAAGTCGATTTTACGAGAGAAAAGCTCTATTTCCACCATCACTGCCATCCCCTACCCCTAGAAATATAACTTATTAATGCTAAACTGAACCCATGTTGGTTCGTTTTACCAGGAGATATGTTTCTGACTTTTTATCCCATTGCTGTGGTACTAAATCTAAGGTTAACAAGCACAAGAAGAATAACTCATTTTTTCTTAAATAGAAAATTTTTGAAGTCTGTCTATTTTTGGATATAATAGTCTCTCCACTTTTTCCTCCCTGTGATATTGAAAAGGATCAGGTACATTAAGCTTTAAGAGTATAGAGGAATTAACATGGATTTATAGTCGTCTTTAGTGACAGAATTCTTGATTTAGGACAAATCAAGGAAAGAAAATGAGCTCTTGGCATAGCGTAGATAGATTGGTTGTAAAACTATATTCATAAATCATGCAAAGAGATGAATGCCTATTGGGTAAAATTTTTCAACATTCATGGACGGTTTTCCATTTCTCCATCACACAACTAATAGAACAAAGATCCTTCTTCAGAGTCCATGTGACTCATTTGGGGTAGAATATAATTTCCTTTTCAATTTCCAATTGCTACTGAGTTGCCCTTGGCATTTTGCAGGGCAACAAAGTTGCATACGACCTTTTTGAGAGCTACTCAGCTACCGGGACCCCAAAATGTCAAGTACAACTCAGTTGCTCTCAGAAATTTCCCACTTGCAATTCACTTGTACTTGAAATTGATCACGTACAATGCAATTGAAATGCAAAAAGAAAAAAAAAGACCTTGTAGAAACTCTTAGGAAAATTAATTTGTATCACCGCAAATGTGACAGGGTAGAATGGTCTCTGTCCTCATTAGTAAATATGATCAAGTGGATTAAAGTAGGTCCTAGATCAAGGGCCTTGGGTCCTCTCTCTGGCTGGGTGACCTTGTCCAAACCATTTGTTGTGGAACAGAGCTTGTATATCACAGGTGTGCTCTCAGGATAAAGTGACGTGCTTGTCGTTCTATTGGGAAGCCTCGTGTTCCTGCCTTTCTCCTGTGACTCTGCCTCACCCCTTTCCTGTCGGGGTACTCGTGTAGCTCTGCAAAGGAGCAGTCATTCTGACCTGTGCTCATACCGCCCGCGGAGGGGGCACGGCTGCTTGTGTAACCCAGGTGATTTTGTTTGCTTTTTCTTTCCTTCTTACAGCAGACATCATGATGCCCTGGCTTTTTCACAGAGACACTAAACGAAACACGAGAAGGGCTTTGCAGACCATCCGCTGGAGTACTGGCATAGTAACGATGAACTTCTCCAGCCTCG